TTTTAATCAGATCTTCCTCTTTCAGTATTTCATTTCATCCATGCTTCTTATGTCAGCAATCAATCATCTTGCCTAGGAAGAGAGAGAAACCCCAGGACTTTACTGGCCTGTTCTTGGAAGGTCATTTTCTCTGTCTGCTGTAGGTGTTTCAGGTGTATCCCTGCTTCCAGCCCCCTCCCTTTTTTGCCTCTCCCAGGTCAAAGGTTCACAGTGAGTCTGAGCCACTTCCTGCTCTGTGCCTGCTGTTCTGAGGTTGGTGGGACACCCTTCCTGACTGTGCTTGTAGGGCTGTGAATTGGGCCTTAAGGTGAGTGCCTTGACCTTGTCCCCTTGTGGGCCTGAAAGATCAGCTTCTGCTTCCTGTTTTCACCCTGTGGCTGAGCCTGAAGGTAAATCTGGGAACAGCTGTCTGCTTTTTTCCAGACTTTGCAGTGGAAGGAAAGGGCATGGTAATAGGATGGTGATTCCATTCTCTTCTTTTTCTTGTTCTGAGCTTTGCAGGGTTAACAGAGAGTGAGAAGTCTTAAGTAGGGGATGGGAATACCAACCTAGGTCCTTCTTTTTATGTTTTAGTGGTATGCAAAGAGGGCCCAGGTTGTGTTGGCTTTTTGCATTCTGCAATTGAATTCAGCCTGTTTCTTCTCTTTGAGGTCTTTGAAAAGAGGTGAATAGTGGGGAGGTGAGGAAAGGTCCTGGAGGCCAGTTGCCTTGGGGTCTCTGAGCAGCGCCATTTGTTGTTCAAGCAGTGGAGCAGAGGTGGGCACCCCAGTTGTATTGCAAGGTGGGAGCTGTTTTTTAATCTTTGAAATGTTTTCAACATATTAAGGCCTTACTTTGCTGAGACTGAATGCTTGGCCTTTCTTCAACTTAGCAGGGTATGAGTGTGAGGTGGAAATGAGGGTTGTGTTAGATCAGGTTAGCTCTCTCTTCTCAGTCAGAGATTAGGGTAACTTGATCAAACAGGACTAGGAGAGGGAAGGTGGAAAGGTAAACATCATTTACAGAGCACCTGCTTTATGCCTGGAGTGCTACATAAGTTAACCTATTTAATTCTGGAAACAGTAGCAATACTTATTTCCTTAGGAATTTATAGATGAAGAACCTGAGGCTCTCATATGTGAAGTGATTTATTTGAGGTCACATGGCTGGAAAATAGTGGACTGAGATTCCCACCTTTGTTTGAGGGACTGAGGAGCTCATGCTTTACCTACTGCTTTGTGTTGCTGTTATGTGACTTTGGGCCCTTTGTTTTCAGTCCTCAAATGGGATATGATTGAGAAAGCCACCTGTAACCAGTAATACCGTTGTTTCACTTAGGGTCCTTGTAGGTAGCAGATGGTACAAATCAGGTGTGTGAAGAATTTAATACATTTAATAAAGGGAATATTTATTTACAAAGGTTTGGGTACAATTTAAGGTAACTAACAAGGGGTAATTCAATACCCCATGGGCTAATAACAGTGAGAGGGCTAGTAACAGGGGAGGCTGCCTTCCAGCATTCTCAGCTGTTGGCTTTGCCTTCCCCGGCACATGCCTGTTTGGGACCATAGGTACCTGGTAAGACCTTAGGTACTTACCTTTTCCAGTGTACTGCTTCTGCCAATAGCTACTAGTTGGAGTGACTGTGTTTGATGGCTTTTAGGAAACCATGTTGGAAAGACTGGGCATCCATTCTGTGGCTCTCACTACCTTCTCACCCTTTTGCTTCTCCCCACCCTGACTCTCTGGTGATGGAGGGTTGGGTGGGTTGATGGTGGGAGAACATGTTAGCTTCCCTGTTTCAGATTTCAGATTTCCCTGAAGTGGCACCCATCCTTTATTACTGTTTTCCTCCTTTCTCAGAGAAAGTGGTATACTTTTTCTCAGATTAATCCTGTACCTGATTTTTCTGTCATCCCCCTCTTATTTATACGTAATCTGTTACTTCCTTGCTATTTCTTTTCCTCACTTGACAAACACCTTGAGGCTCCCCATCCTGAATAAAACAAAAGCAAGCAATACAAACTCTCCCTTGATCCCCCACTCCCATCCCAGTTTCTTTAAGCTATTATCCTATTTTCATCCTCCATGTAACTAAATTTCCTGAATTTGCAGTTATACTTCGCTGACTCCTAGTCATGCTTTAACTACTTACTTTCCTAAGTTTGTCTAAAATTTGCTAAAACCGATTGACCATTTTCAATTCTTATCCTACTTAATTTCTCTGTAGACTGTACATTACAGGCAACTTTCAGTTTCTTGAAACTTCCTTTCCTTGATTTCTAGATTATTATCTCTTGGAGTTCTCCTTCTATTTCTGGATACCTTCACAGTCTTCACAGACTCTTTGTCCTCTGCTTTCCTGAACCCTGGTGTTCCCTAAGGTGTCACTCTTGGTCCTTTCATGGTCTGCTGATATCTTTGGGTGATTCCATCTCCTTCCATAGGCTCACCTACCACCTATCAGCTGGTGACTCCTGGATTTATATCTCTAGTCTTGATTTCACTCTTGAGCTCAATTATAATATTCCTATAGTTGACCCTTGAATAATGTGGGGATTAGGAATGCCAACCCATTGCAGTTGGAAATCTATATAAAATAACTTTTGACTCTCCAAAAACTTAACTGCTAGTAGCCTACTCTTGACTGGAAACCTTACTGATAATATTAATAGTTGATTGAAACGTATTTTATATCTTATATGCATTATATACTGTATTATTAGAGTAAGCTAGAGAAAAGAAAATGGTTTTTCAAATTGTTGCAGATGTCCAAAAATTTTTCCAATATAGTTACTGAAAAAAAATTCACATGTAAGTGGACCCACACAGTTCAAGCCAGTGTCGTTCAAGGGTCAACTATACTTGCTTTCTGGACATCATGGATATCCTGTAGGTGTCTCAAAGCTTCACATGTTCACAACTATCCTCTTCTTCTCTTCTAAAACATGGTTCCCTTTGTTATGTGTTCCTAGTCTGTTGGTGGCATTGTCTTCCTCTGTGTCTCCTATTCTTCATATTAGGGTCTTCTCTTATCCTCCATTCATTTGTCAGGTCTTGTTGCTTCTCCTTCATGGTTAAGTTAAATCTGGAGGCAGATTATCTGCATTTGCACCCCAGTCTTGCCACTTGCTAGCTGGCTCACTTTGACAATTTATTTAACTTTTCTAGGCTTTGATTTTCTCATGTAACAAATGGAAATAATAGTTCATCTTGGTTTAAATGAGAGGTTTAAATGTGAGGTTTAATGAGCCACTACATGTGCTTAGAACAAAGCCTGCTCATAGTAAGTGTGTGTTCAGTATATGTTAGCTATTACGATTATTTTTAATTCAGCATCCAGCTCCACAAGCATTTTTGAATGACACTGGGATTTCACAGAAGAATGAATGATTTCTTTTTTTGTCAAGGATCTTGCTAGTATTGGCAGAGATATTATGGGTGTAAATAATTTCAGTATCACATTAAGATATGCTAAGATACAGATGAATCTTAGATTTATCTCTGTTAATCCTGCTCTTAGCACATTAGTTCATACCATCCTTTTTTTTCTTTAATGGGCTATTGAAACCTGTTCTTATAAATTGTCCACTGCCATCTGTCTCTCACTGCTCCACCTTATACTGCTATCTGACATATTTTTAAAGGAAGATTTTGTCTTATTTCCTTGTTTAAAAATCTCCTTTGTCTCTAGGGTGTCAATAGATATAACCCAAATTCCTTAGCATGATATTCAGTGATATTTATAAACTTCATCCTCATTTACCCTTCAAATCAATATCCTATCTATCTTCTCTAAGTAGGCTGTCATTAAACCACAGCAATAGTCTATGCTTCAAGTTTCTTGTGCTCTTTCATAGTGCCGTATCTTTGTGTGTACTGTTTTTGATACTGTTTTCTCTCTGCTCTCTTAGTGGCCAGTATCTCATTGTTAAAAACTGAAGTCAGCTGTCCCCTCTTACAGTCTCCCAGGCAGTAGTTGCTTTCCCTTCTTGTCCCTGTGACACTTTTGTAAATACCTCTGTTTATGGTATTCATTGGAGTTTTTGTTTTTGCTTTTCCCCAACTGCTTTTATCCATCTTTGTATTTCCACTGCTTAATTAGCAGAGTGGCCAGTACTTTGTCAGTATGGATTGAGCAATGAAACGAGTGAGCCCAACCTGCTGTTAAGGACTGGCCCCATCCTTTGTAAGACTGCCTCCTGTTCTGCAGAAGGTTTCCTTCAGCATGGTTGTTACCTTCTTCCTTTTGTTTTGAGCAGGTAATGGTGAGAAAGAGTATCTGGGTGGAAGAGGATGGTGGTTAATATAACCCAAGTGCAAAGCGTGAAGCTGTTGCCAGGTTTCTGGGTTCCTTCAACCCTTGTTGAATATGAAGAGGAAGGACAACTGAACCACACCTTTCCTCTGAAGTTTTTACTCTTGTGAGAGACAATACTGCTGAGAGGGTGGGAGGTGTGATGGAGAAGGAACTGAGCCGCAGCCTAGGCCAATGGCTATTTTGGTACTTATTCCCTCTCCCTAGTGAGGCTGTTATGTCATTCTCCCCAGGAATGAGTGCTGGGTATATCTGACAGGAGTGGGATATGTGGGAGTGTGTGTATGGTAGTGTATCCATGTGTCCCTTGATGGAGTGAAAATTGTTCTGCCCTTTTGGTTGGCTCTGGATTTCCACCTAAGTATTCAGCCAGTTAGGGGTCTCTTTGCCCATCCTACTGAGGGGGCTTCTAGGGAGGGACCTGTGAAAGGTAGAAAAAAATTTCTTCCTCATCAATCCCAGAGGGCTGGAGTCAGATCAAGACTGGGTTTCTTGATTGTATGTTTATATATTTGTTCGTTCGTTCGTTCGTTTGTTCATTCATTCATTCATTCATTCATTCATTCATTCATTCATTCACTTAAGCATTCATACATTCAACAAGTATTTATTGAGTCCCTAGGCACTGTTCTGTGTATTGAAGATACAACAGTTAACAAAACAGACAAACTCTGCCCTTAATGAGTTTACGTTCTAGTGGGGAAGATAGACAAATGAAAAGCAAATAAATATTTTTGGAGAGTGAAAACTGCTAAGAACAAAGGATCAGGAAGCTAGTGAGTGAAGGTGATAAGATGTGCTATTTAGATAGAATTAAGTCAGGCCTCTAGAGGAGATAGCATTTGAAAATAACTGAGTGATGCAAGCAGTGTGAAGATGTGGAGAAGAGCACTGCAGGCAGAGGGAACAGAAAGTAGTCAAGAAAGCAGGCCTTGAGTAAACAATGAGTGAGGAGGAGGCTGCCAGTAGGTTCTACCGATTAGATTATATAGTGCCTTAGAGGCCAAGGTAAGGGATTTGGGCTATTACTAGTGTGCTAGGAAATCACTGGAGGGTGTTCAGCAGAGGAGAGATGTAATATAATTTAGGTTTAAAAAACATCACTGTAGTTGCTGTGTGGAGAATAGACTCTCGGGGCAAGACTGGAAGCACGGAGACTGATTGGAAGCTACTGCAATGGTGAGGCATGTCTTGAGGGTATAGATGGTAGTGTTTGCTGATGAACTGAATATTGGAAGTAAGAACAAGAAGAAAGAAGGATAATGCTCAGGTTTTTGGCCTGAGCATGTAGGTGAGTGTTGGTATCATTGAGATGGAGAAGGCTGGGGGGAATAATGGGTTTGGTGGTAAAAATGAGTGCTGTTTTAGACATGTTAAGTTTAAGATGCTGACTGTGTGTGCATGTGTGTGGAGTTTTCAGTGGAGTGGTGGTTCTGAGTTCTTCCTGCTGGGGAGTGGAGAGAGGCAAACTTCTGTTAATCTCTTCCGCTCTCACTCTTTGAATTAGGTTTGCAAGTCTGGACTGGGCAGTGACCTCTGGGTTCGCCACTCCAGCCTGGTGTATATCCTCTGGCTCCATGGCCAACTACTGGCTCCTACAGACCGGATGAAGCAGACTAGAGACACAAGTGGAGAAAGCCTCCAGCTGGCAATTTCTCAGAGTGTAGTCCTCTGGCTGCTGGCCGGGCCCAGCCTGCCTCATGGAGAGGATGAACTGGCTAAGCAGACTGGCCTCCCGAGGTCCTGGGCACCGTGTACCTCAAGGGGCTAGTCTGCAGACCCCTGTCATGGCTGATCCTGAGACCTGCCTCATGGTCTTCAAGAATCACTGGTCGCAGGTAGGAGTCTATAAGCCAAAGGGCCTAGTCTACTGGTTGCCTGCTCCTTGCCTTTGTGTTCTCTCACCATCCCATTTAGTTACCTTGTCATCTTAGATTCCTTCTATCTTCTGTCGTTTCTCCCGAGGTGGTGCGAATCCTGGAGCGGCAAGGCCCTCGGGCAGCTCCTGGGGGTGCAGATGATCTCAGTGCTGTGTGCAACCACACTTATCAGATGCTGACACTTCTGGCAGAGGATCGTGCAGTCCCCTCAGCCCCCACAGCCCCTGGGCCCCTGCTGGAGTTTGCACTGCGCGAGGATCTGCTAACCCGTTTGTTGGCATGGCAGCTTCAGTGGGATGACTTTGGGGATGGGGTTGAGGAACGGCGGGCTGAGCAACTGAAACTATTTGAGATGCTAGTGAGTGAAGCTCGCCAGCCGCTGTTGAGGCATGGTCCAGTTCGTGAGGCTCTGCTGACCTTGCTGGATGCCTGTGGCTGCCCTGTGCCCAGTAGCCCAGCACTGGATGAAGGCCTGGTGCTACTTCTCAGCCAGCTGTGTGTGTGTCTGGCCCGGGAGCCTTCATTGCTCGAGCTCTTCCTGCAGCCACCTCCTGAGCCTGGAGCTGCCCCCCGTCTTCTCCTCTTTTCTCGCCTTGTCCCCTTCGTCCATCGAGAGGGCACCCTGGGCCAGCAGGCCCGTGATGCCCTACTCTTGCTCATGGCTCTGTCAGCTGGGAGCCCCACTGTGGGCCGCTACATCGCAGATCACTCTTACTTCTGTCCGGTCAGCACCTCCTGGGGTGGGGGTAGGGTAGGGTATGGTGTGTAGATACTGGGTAGCACCTTGCTATCAAGGAGATATGGATGGGCTGTATACCAGCACCCTGTCCTTCAGGAAGTAGGCCCCTGGGTTTGAAAGCAGTACCTGGAGTTAGGGTGGGGATAAAGATGGGCTCAGGTGGGTATGGCAGGTACTAAGGCTTTTCATGGGTCAGTGTCCCAGGTGATGTCCTGGCACGTTGAATAACTAACTTTCTGCTCAGGTAATACCTCTTTCCCCTACTCCCATCAAAATTCTGGGTTAATAGCTCCCCTGTGCCCCTTTTCTGTATTGTCTGAGCCTTTGGTAACCTATCCTTGGGGATGGCCCTCAGGTGCTGGCCACAGGGTTGAGTGCCCTGTACTCCTCGCTGCCTCGAAAGATTGAGGTTCCAGGGGATGATTGGCACTGCCTGCGACGGGAGGACTGGCTGGGAGTGCCAGCCCTTGCACTCTTCATGAGTTCCCTTGAGTTCTGCAATGCAGTCATTCAGGTGGGACTGGGGTTTGCAGGAGGTCTGGTCAAAGGGGGTGCATTCCCTGGAGTTCTGCTCTTTTGTCATTTTGGGGTTGGGGGCCCTACTGGTATTGTACCATTCATTCTACTCCCTTCCATACAGTGGTCCCCCTCAGAACCCTCCTTCCTCTCTCTTGCATCCCTACAGGTGGCTCACCCTCTGGTACAGAAGCAATTAGTTGATTATATCCATAATGGATTTCTGGTTCCTGTCATGGGCCCTGCCCTGCACAAGGTGAGAGTCATGGATGGCAAGGCAGATTAGGGGATCAGGCTGAGGGGTGGTAACCTCACTGCTAGGACCAGTGTGGGGAGGCAGTGGTCTGGGTACTCTTCCCTTTTTCCTTGTCTGCTCCTGGTTCCTCCTTGGAATTAAGAGAAAATGACTCGTTGTATGTGCAGAGAAGCCGTAAATACTGCCCCTTCCTTTATTCTAGACCTCTGTGGAGGAGATGATTGCCAGTACTGCCTATCTGGAGCTTTTCCTACGGAGTATATCAGAGCCTGCCCTGCTCCGAACTTTTCTGCGATTCTTGCTGTTGCACCGGCATGACACCCACACCATCCTTGACACCCTTGTTGCCCGTATTGGCAGCAACTCCCGGGTATGACCCTTACCTCTATCTTGGCTTACCAGGGTGAGCTGTCTTCTCTCTCTGACCTCTGTTCTGGGAGGGTTTCCTGCCCTTTTTGGTTTTTGTCTCCAGCAGTCATTTCAAACTTAGGTGGCATTTGCTTTCTAATATTAAACTTCTAACCATTTTGGTTACAGATTTTAGTATTTTAATCTACTCCTCTGCTTTTGTAATACATGAATCTAGAGCACAGTTACCTTCTCTGGCTGACTTGGGCTGTTCTTCATGACTGTAGGTTTTGCCATTGTGCTCTACTGGTAATGTAACATTGGCCTGAGGTTCTCTGCAGTTGTGTATTGCTCTGTGGCCTGTGTGGGAGACACTAGATCACTTGTTGCGGTTTCGTATCTGCTTTGATAGGTGACCCAGTGGCTGCTGGTATGCTTGCCTTTTCTCCCTCTTGTATTTGCTGCATTTGAACTGCTGTGACCTGGGGCACCCATCCATCCACCCACCCACCTACTTACATACCTTCGTTCTGAACATTTTTACTCAGTGTTTACTATGTGCTGTACTATTTTCTGGTACTGAGAACCTAATGGTAAATGAGATAGACATGGTTGCTGAATTCATGGAGCTTCCTTTAGAGAGGAGGTAAACAAGCAAACATGTTAATAAAATAATTGAAAATTTGGTCATTGCTATGAGAAAACCAAACAGCATGCTTAGAAAATAATTGGGTGGTCAAAAAAAAAAACTGAGGTAGTGACATTGAGCCGAGACCTAAAGATTATGAGGGATTTAAGTCTGTTGAAGAACAAGTGGAAGAACATTATAGGCAGAGGGTGCAACTGCTAAGGACATCAAATGGGGCCTAACTTAATGTAGTTGAGGAAAGAAGGACCACTGTGGCTGGAGGCATAGTGAGCAAGGAGCAGGTAGGAGGGAAATCAGAGTAGAGAATGGGCAGGGTTCAGGTCGTGCATGGCCTTGTATACCATGGTAAGAAGTTTGGACTTTAACCAATAGAAATGTAAATACCATAGGAGTAAGTAGTTTCCAAGTAATAAAGATCTGAAGTTTTTCTAGGGGACTAAAGCATTAGTTTAGCCATGGACTTTATGGCATTTAGTTTGGTTCTGGAACCATTTTTGTTTCCTCCTTCTATTACAAATAATTGAAGGTCCCTGGGTCCTTGTGTTTAAAATCAAATTTCTTGGATCACTAAGGGTTCTAGAAAACTTTCTAGGTAATTGAGGTACCTGGTAGTTGGCTTCCAGGTAGGTAAGGTTTCTGGATAGCTATGTTTTCTTTTTTTTTTTGAGATTTTTTTATTAAAATTTTTTTTTTATTAAGGTATGATTGATATACACTCTTATGAAGGTTTCACATGAAAAAACAGTGTTACTACATTTACCCATATTATCAAGTCCCCACCCATTCCTCAATGCAGTCACTCCATCAGTGCAGCAAGCTGCCAGAGATCCACTATGTTGGATAGCTATGTTTTCTATAGGAGATGTTTCTGTATAACTAAGTTGGGGTATGATGAGATATTCCAGGCTGACTCTGATTAGACCAGTGTTTCTGAATCAGGCGTATACTTCAGAATTTGAAAATGATGACAGCTATGATGGATTCTAGGCTCTGCTGTAGATCTCTCGTATTATAATCTTTGGGCGTAGGTCCAGAACATGTGTATTTTTATAATGTTCCAAAAAGTAATTATGATACATGCCTTGGATTAAGAACTATTGCTGAAAACAAGTAGGGAATAGATGTTAAGGCTTTAATTTTAAAAAGATACGAAAGGAGTTCTTTTCTCACTATGCCCAGGTAAGAACATGGTCTTATATCTCTTTGCCTCATGGACTGTCCTATTCATGTTTTGGGACAGTTGATTTCCTTCTTGAGGTTGATTTTTTTTCCTGTGTTGTGCACTATCCATCTTGCTTTTGTCTTAATCTTCTTTGATTCTCCCTCATTATTTTTTTAGCATTTATTTCTGTTAATTTTGTATTTGGTCCTTTGGTCTCACACACCATGTTCTTGGGCTATTTCTTCCTGATTCCTGGTTCTTGGAGGAACCAGATCTCTAATTTCAGGATGCCTGTATTGGATGTGTAGTCACTTTCCTTTCCACTCTTTGTCTGTTTTAGGCTTGATTTTGAATTTCTTTTGCCTGGCTTTTTGCTTAAAGTGAATCATGCTGGCTAACCAGTCTCTGTGCCTGACAATCTGTATTAGTTTCCTATAGCTGTCATAATAAATTACTACAAGCGTACTACCTTAAAACAAAAATATATTAACTACAGTTCTTTATGTCATATGTCTGTCATGGATCCCACCAGACTGAAATCAAAATGTCAGTGGAGCTCCTTTCTGGAGGCCCTAGGAGTGGCTGTGTTTCCTTGATCATTAGGATTGTTGGTGGGTTGTTTCATAGGACTGAGATTGCCGTTTTCTTGCTGGCCGTAAGTTGAGGATTCTTCCCAGCTCCTAGAGGCCAATCAGATTCCTTGGCTTATGGTCCCTTCATCTTCAAAGCCATACATCGTGGATTGAGTCCCTCTCATGCTTCACATCAGTCTTCCTTCTTGTTTTTGACCCAGCTGGAAAAAGTTCTCTGCTTTTAAGTACTTGTGATCTGATTGGGCTTACCTGGATAATCCAGGATACTCTCACTCTCTCAAATTCTGTAACCTAACCTTAATTGTACCTTCAAAGTATCTTTTGCCCCACAAGGTAAAATATTTGCAGATTTGGGAGATTAGGAATTGGACATCTTTGGGGTGCTATTTTTCCACCTGCCACACAACTTTTGAGGAAGTCTGAGTGTTTGCATTGCTAGTTAAAATGGCCATTTAGAATAAACCTCCTGAACATCCATGCTGTCCAAAATGGTATCCATGGATTCGCCACTGTGGTTGGCTTTTGATTCTCCCATAGTCAATTAGCAAATGATGAGCACCTGTACTGTGCAGGTAGTATTCTAAACTAAGCTCTGGTAGTTGCCTTTGGGGGGCCCAGGGTGCATTTGCCATAAGGGAAGTACAGAGAAGGTGCTTGTGGGGATGCAGAGGAGTGGGGAGAGCCTACCTATGTGTGTTCTCTCTGCCCAGCCAGAGACCACTACCCTTTTTACTTTTCTAAAACAGAAGGTTTTCCTTATTCCGGACACACCTAGTTTTTCCTTTTCCTGTCAGCTGCCCTTGAGCTTTTCTTTATCCTACCTCCTGAGAGAGACTGATGTTGGCAGGTGACACAGCGCCCCATTCACAGCCCCACCCACTTCCCAGCTGGGCTGCAGCAGATCCCCTCTGGCTCTTTGTTGGTAGGCCTATACCCTTCCTGTGCTGTTGCCCTCTCTGCAGAGGACATTCACTTAGTCTGTCACTTACTCATCTCAGTATTTCCTAGGGTCTCTTTTTATGGTAGTCATTCCATTTAAGTATTGCTGGAGTCTGTGCTAATGAGTACGTATAGCCAATCTGTTGACATCTGTATGGTTTGTAGAAATACACTGAACCTGACACATGGTTCAGTCCTGTCTGTTAATAGCAAAGTCTTTCCTACAAAGGTTGTGTGATAATTTGTTTAATACTTGAATAACTGTTATGTGCCAGACCTTGTGCACTGTTCTCTGGGAGTGGTTGGTTGGGCCTGGGGCTGTGGGGTGGGTGGTTCCCATTGGGTAAATGGAGGGTAGTGAGCTCTTACGGTGACTCCCTCCCTCCTCCCCCACCCCCCAGCTCTGCATGGTCTCTCTGAGTCTCTTCAGGACCCTCCTGAATCTCAGTTGTGAGGATGTCCTGCTGCAGCTGGTTCTCAGGTACCTGTTGGGGCAGGGCTGAGGGATGGCTGGTCTGGAACTCCCCAGGGCCCTCAGGGCTTGTGCATTGCTGGGGCCATGGGCAGTGCTGGGGTTGTTAATGAGTTTTCTCTTGGAGCCTGGCTTAGCCATGTAGCTCCATTGGCCTGATGTTTTCCCAAGTCCTGTCCTTCCTTCCTGATCTATTCTGTGTCCCTTTTCTGCTGTCATGTCCAGGTATCTTGTCCCTTGTAACCATGTGATGCTGAGCCAGAAACCAGCTGTGCGCGATGTGGACCTATATGGACGAGCAGCGGACAAGTTTCTATCCCTAATCCCACGTTGTTGTCGGCACCATGCCCCCAGCCCACCCCGTCCAGAGCATGCCTCGTGGGCACGAGGTGGGCCTACCAGAGAGGCAGGGAGAAGGGAGGACACCACGGGTATGGCCTGGGTTCTGGGGAAGCCTAGCAAGAAGGTGGGGTTAGGGTGGGAGGAGGGAGGTGGCCATGAGTGTCACTCAATCTCTTGGGAGGTTGATGAGGGGTCTTGCAGGCTGGCTTTTTACTCCATCAAAGGAATTGTAGCTTCTGAGTAAAGCTGCTTGTCTTCTTCATTCCAGTCCTGTACTTTTCCTGTTTCCATTGTTTCTTTGGTGTTGGTGGTAATGAGGGGGCGTTGTGGATGACAAAAAGCTTTATTTGGAGGCTGGGGAGTCAGCTGTCTGAAATGGTCCCATGTTTTAGCTACTCCATTGCTTTCTCTCTCAGTCTCCCCAGGTGTCTTACCCCTCTTCCTGTACCTCTGTCTCTTTGATCTCTCAACGTTTTTTCCCCTTTACAGGCCCTGGAAGCCCCAGTGTTGATTCTTCTTCTGTGGTGACAGTGCCCCGGCCGTCCACGCCATCTCGTCTGGCCCTCTTCCTCAGACAGCAGAGCCTGGGCGGCTCTGAGTCTCCAACCCCAGCCCCTTGCTCACCAGGGCTTGCTGCATCCCCAGCCTCCAGCCCTGGCCGACGGCCCAGCCCTATGGAGGAGCCTGGTGAGCTGGAAGACAATTACCTGGAGTATCTGCGTGAGGCGCGTCGTGGTGTGGACCGCTGTGTCCGAGCCTGCCGTACCTGGTCTGCCCCCTATGATGGCGAGCGGCCCCCTCCTGAGCCCAGTCCTGTTGGCTCCCGGACTAAGAAACGCAGCCTGTTAACTGAGGAGGACAGGGACAATGTGGGAGATGGGGAGGAGGAAGAGCTGGGGGTTGGGGGGCTTGCTGGGGGTGCAGGGGAGGGCCCCGGCCACCTGCCCCCTCTCCAGCTCAATGGGGTGCCAGGACTGTGGCCTGAAGGGGCCAAGAAGGTTTGTCGGGTGCCACAGGGGGGAGCTGGGGAACTGCTAGAGGGTGTCTCTGAGGGCATGGCAGGACTAGAGGGCTTTGGGCAGGAGCTCCGTGAGCTGGAGGTGGCATTGAGCAATGGTGGGGCTAGCTCAGAGCCCCCCCTTGAGCCTCCGCTACCTCTTGAGGAGGAGGAGGCCTTTGAGAGTTTCACTTGTCCCCCTGAGCCCCCTGGCCCCTTCCTCAGCAGCCCTTTGAGGACTCTCAACCAGCTGCCAAGCCAGCCTTTCACTGGTAAGCTATTCAGCCTAGGCCTTCTCCTTTGTGTAGTCTTTGCATGTTCTCAACATGTTTGTGCTGATTTCTGAGACTTCTTGGCTATGTCATTTCTGTGTACTTGCCTCGCTCCTTACCATTTTGCTTGGGTCCCATCCAGATACATACCATATCATACTTGTGTCTCTATGTCTTCCATGCTTGTGCTGGTTTGAGTATTGACTTATGTCTGAGCCTTATATGTCTGTCCTATATGCATGTTCTTCCTTTTACCCAGTCTGGGCATTTTGGGATTTGTGATCAGGATATTCTGTGTTTGGTGTTGCCTGGTGAATCGCAGCAGCATACCTGAACCATGTGGAAGACACACGTGATGTCCTGCATGTGAGGCACCTGTAAACCAGGCTGTTCCCACCAGTATGTCCGTCTGGGTGCTGGGCCTCCTGTCAACTCTTGTGTGGCCCAGGGTCAGTTCTGGTATTCTTCCTCTTCTCAGCCCTGGCTTCCTTTCTCCAGCTGCTTCAGAGACTCAGTTTCTCCTGTTCCCCATCCTTGTGCCATGACAACCTAGTAAAATGTTCTTAAAGATTTACAGTCAGTAGTAAGGAATGAAGCAGATAGAGTGAGGCAGATACACCATTGACAGCAAAGACAAAGCATGGCCTTGAGCTGCCTGGTCTCCCTGGAAGACCCTGGAGCTAGACCTGACTTGAGTCATTGGGCTAACTCCTCTTTGTTTTTGTTTGAGAGCAAGCTCTACCCAGCCCAGCCCTCATCTACCTGTCACCTTTACTCCACATCCTGTGCTGGAGAAAAAGAAACAAAGAAAACCCTCCTCTGGGAAGCAGTGTAGTCCTTTGGACGAGACATACCTTGAGTTAGTGTCCCATCTGTGTCATTGGTGCATGTAAATCACTTACTATGATGCTGGTACATTGGGAGAACTCAACACACAGTAACTTTGAACAGGATTATTATCTCGGGTGCATAGCAGTTACAAGTTGACCAGGGCAACCACCCATCTTCTTGTGGTTTGTAGTCAGGTGAATCATACCTTGATTAGTACTTATCCTAACTTGGCCTGGGATATGCTGCCAGTCTGCTGGCACAGCATTCAGGGCTTCTGTTTTGATCATGACAACAACTCCTTGCAGACTACAGAAAATGCATCTTTCCATTTATATAGGCTTTGCTCCTTCCAACTCAGCACCACTAGAAGGTGGTATGCAGGTGTTACCACATTCTTTGCATTAATTGAAACTGTACTTTTTCTCTGTAAATTCATTGGAGTTTTTAAAATTTTCTCTTGCAAGGAAGCCCCAGGAAATGAGAGGAACAGGACAAAGTTGTGGGGAGCTTAGGTCCCTGTTAAGCTAGAGTTGTTTTGGAGCTCAGGCTAGTCATGTGCATCTGGAGTAGAGAATGTTCTAGGATCTTTCTTAGGATTCACTGTCTCTTTCCCTTTGTTGTTCTTCTCATTGCATAGTGAGCTCTCAGGTATACTACTTTCCCCCACCAATCCTTGATCAGACATACTGTGGTGGTTCTAGCATCCTCGTGCTGCTGATCTGGCTCAGGTGAGGCCAGATTGTCCAGTAGCTCATTCTGATTCCTTCTGTTACCTTCTTTCGCACCAGAGAGCCTGCCCTGAATCAGTTTTCTCTTTGTTCTACAGATTCTCTTCCACCTTCTTGGTTCCCTGCTTCTGAACAGAGCTGATTTCTTTTTTTGGTCCTCCCAAGATTCCTCCCCAGATTCCTCCCCAGCTTTAGCATGGCCCATGTAGCCACCTTTGCCTTTGCTGTGTTTCCTTCTTGCTGTCTTTCTGATGCAGGTCTAGTGTTTCCCTCTCTCTTGTGTGTAGCCTGATTCTTCTTTTGGTCCTAATAACTTTCTTGTTCTTTCTTCTATTGTGCCTTTTGAGTGAAGATTTTTAAAAAGCTGAGGAATATTTTAGCTATGTAGCTTATAGTTATTATTGAATACTTAGAATTTGCTAGATTTTGGGCTAAATGCTTTATAAGAGTATCTGGATCCTCTTAATAACCTTTTGAGGTGGGTATGTTTTCTTATTTTACCAAGTAGGAAACTATGCTTGGAGAGTTTTAATCCGTCTGATAAATTAGTAAAGCTGAAAATTGAAGCCAGGTCTGTGTGACTCCAGAGCCTACTGTCTGGCTCTTCAGCACGAGTTTAGAGCTGGCATCTGGACCCTTGTGGGCCCATGTGGTGTTTGCCATTTTATCTCCTCCAGAATAGATGGTCACAGGATATTTAAACATATCCAGAGACTAACAGAAATGATTCTCATCTAGTGGGGGGAATCTCTTGTTCTTGGGAGGAATGCGTGCTATGTGCATTGTGTTCAGGTCTTGTATCCTTGTGCCCACCCCTCAGGCCCCTTCATGGCTGTGCTCTTTGCCAAACTTGAGAATATGCTGCAGAACTCCGTCTATGTCAACTTCCTGCTGACGGGGCTGGTGGCCCAGCTGGCCTGTCACCCCCAGCCCCTGCTCCGCTCTTTCCTGCTCAACACCAACATGGTCTTCCAGCCCAGTGTCAAGTCCCTGCTGCAGGTGTGCGATGCATGCATGCATGGGTGCGTCCAGGCTCCATGGTGGGCCAGGCCCGCAGCTGGAGTTGCCCTGAGGGGGGCTGGGAACAGGCCCAGTGGGACTAGAAAGGACTTTGTCAGTTTAGAGCTGCTCAGGCATGTCATGAAGTTGTGCTTCATAGGTGCTGGGCTCTGTGAAGAATAAGATCGAGAGCTTTGCCGCCTCCCAGGAGGACTTCCCAGCACTGCTATCCAAAGCCAAGAAGTACCTCATTGCCCGTAGCAAGTTGGACTGGGCTGAGGGCCCTGCAGCAGGACCTGCCTCTCGCCGCTCTGATCCCCTAGGTGAGGTATACTCCACACCCCTTTTCCCACCCTCCACAGGCAGCTCATTAGCCCAGGTTAATTGAGCTGTTATTAAAGTTGAGGCTTTGTGTTGGGAACCGGGAAAAATGAGTCTGGATGCTTGTCTTTAAGCTTCTGGTTAGAAGATAAAACATAGTTTTGTGCACTTAAGAGCCAAATCAGCAGTTCCAGCAAAAACTGCTCTAGGAGTTGGAGGTAGGCAAGGGCACAGAGTACACTCTAGGTTGAGATATTGTCACAGCTTGGTAAAAGATGTAGCATTTGACATGGGCCTTGAGAGATGGGTAGGAATTAGATAGGCAAAGAGTGGAATGGCTTTATCCTTTTGTTCAGGGGACAGCATGAACTATTTAGTTGTAGCAGGAGAGTTAGAAAGTGGTAAGACAGTTGGTAGTAAGGCTGGCCAGAGCAGAAGTTTCTCAGAGTATATGCTGTGCTGGGTAGAAGTTGTGATCTTTTAGTCAGTGAGAAACCATTGGAACAACTTAGATTTGAGAGTGGAGAGATAAGTATGTTAGTTCACTTGCTAGGTGAGTTGGAGCTAGGAGAAAATGCAGTCAGGAAAACAGTCAGGAGGCTTCTGTAGTAATGCAGATTGACCTTTAAAGCTTGAATTAGAACAGTAGACACAGAACAGAAGGATCTGTTAAGGTGAAAATAGCAAGGAAGTATTGGTAGGATTTGGTGAGTGGTTGTAGGGTAAAAGAAGGAAGAATTAAATATGGCCATGCAGTTCTAGATCTCGATCTTTTGTCAGCAAGTATCTGAGCACTTGCCAATGTGGTAGGCACTGTCTTTGGTATAGAGGACTCAGGGAGGTACAAGACGAGATCTCAGCTTTCAAAAAGCTGATAGTCTAGAGAGAGTAGAGAGAGGAATATCATAACTGAGGGAACAAGATCCCAAAAGTGGTGGAAGTAGTGTGACCCAGAGCACCAGGAAAGGATTAGCTTTGAACAAGGTGGGTTTTTTCCCCTAAAACCCTTTGAGGCAGATGAGGAAATAAGTACCAGTGCAGTATGGAGAGGAAGGTTAGGGAATTGAAGTCATCCTTTATTTGCTAATCGAAGTAGGAGGCAAATAAGATGCTGAGAACAAGTGGGCAGGAATACTATGGGGGCTTAGGGAGAAAACTATAGGGACTGGGATGAGCATACCAGGAGAGTTATGATACAGCTCTGAAGACTCAGCTCAGGTTCCTCAGCATGATTTCCTCGGGTCCAGTACTATGACTGTTCTTGCTTCCGCAGTCCCTTACTGTGTTCACTGTGGAGGACCCAGCAATCCAAATATAAATAAGATGGAGGCTATGCTCTTAAGATAGAGGCTTAAGCTCACAGACTAGTGTATGAAGTAGAAGGCCTGTGAACAAGTTACTACAATGTGATGTGATAAGGGTAGTAACATGGGAAGTCATTGGAGGGAAAATCAGAGAAGGTTTGCCAGAGAGGTGGGGCTAGTGAAATTAAGCCAAGGATAAAAACAGTGGGGTGAGCAGAATTAAGGCAGAGGGAACTGTAGAAGCATGGAAGAGCCTGGAGGGTTTCAGGAAGAGCAGAGAGGTATGTATGCAAAAGGATGGTGGGTGTACAGAGTTTTGAGAAGAGGTTGGAGGAGGTATAGTGAGCCTGGTTGCGAAGGGTTCTGAGTGCCAAATAGATGCCAAGCACCTCTCTGTAGTAGTACGTAGAGGTAGAGAATGGGAACCATAATATGAGCTGCTGACTAGATCCCTGGAGTCTAGGTTGTAGATGTTGGACATAGATCCAGAGCCAGGAATCCAGGCAGCAAATTAGAGGAGGAAGGTCAATATTTTAAATGATTCACTTGAGTTTAAGCTGACATTAAGTTGTCTGGCCACAACCAGTGGGAAGGTGACCAGTGGGAAGTGGTGGCATAGGAGAGTAGACCTTGGAGTACCAGAGTGGGAGAGAAGTGATAAAGTCCTTAAACTATGATTGAATATATAGTCCATGCAGGTACTGAAGGAGCACAGGATATGGGTCAGGTGTTAGAGATAGATGGAGGGAAGGTGGAAGTGGTAACTCTAGTTCAGGAGGGTGACGGAAAGCATGGAGTAAGGACTGGGGAGAAATAGCTTGGTAGAGTAGTGACTGGGGAGGAGTACTAAGAGAATCCCGCAGGGTGAGGGGCCACAGCGAAGGAAGGGGTCTTGGCGGGGAAGGAAGTGGCTGGAGTGTTAACTGAGAAGACTGAGGATGATGGCTGGGTGGGTGGTGAGGCTGGATAGGGGGAAGAAGCTGGGCAGGCAGCGTTTTGGTGTTAGCATCGAGAAGTCCATGAACCAAGTGGGTGGGAAAATCTCCCCCAGACCAAGGGCGTTCTCCTGACCCAGCACCCTCACGATACCCCTGTTTATTCCTAGTGAAGAGCCGGAGGCCATCCTTGGGGGAGTTGCTCCTGCGACACGCACACAGTCCAACCAGGGCCCGGCAGGTGGCACAGTTGGTTCTTCAGCCTGGGAGAGACAGCACAGGCCTTGGCCTAGGTGGGGGCTCCCCTGGGGCTTCAACTCCAGTTCTGCCCCCCCGGGGTGGGGCCCCTGAACATCAAGGTGAGGCTCTGCGAGTCAAGAATGCCGTCTACTGTGCAGTCATTTTCCCCGAGTTTCTCAAGGAGTTGGCTGCCATCTCCCAGGCCCATGCTGTCACCTCGCCTTTCCTGTTGGATACTTCAGAGGAGGGCTCTGGCCTTCCCATCTCAGGCTTCGGGCCCCTCAGTCCTTAACTTTGTTCCATGGACAATCATGGCCTTGAGTGGCCTGGCTGGGGCCTGGGTGCAGGCTCCTTTTTATGTTTGGAGGTGGTGGCAAGAAGACTTTTTAATTTATTTCCGATGAATGTTTTATGGAGAACTTGTTGCAATATGTATAAAAGGGAAATCTCTATTCTGTGCTCATTCTTCTTTCCACCCCTTTTTCTATGAGGCTGGGGCCCCAAGAAGGTTGTACATAGGTGGGGAGGTGGTTGGAGTATTTTCTGTCTGGTGATGACATTGATGCTTAGGTTTCAAGGTGCTTCTTAACCCTTAGAGGGTGAGGGGTCATGAAGCCTAGGGAAAAAGTAGGGACTCTCCTTCTTTAGACCCCAGAAGGAAGAAACAGTATGGGCTCAGGATGGTTTGGGGGAGCAGCAGCTGATGTTTATTGGGGATCAATCCCTGTGCCAGAATTTGGGGGTTTTGACCCCTGCATGTTCTGCCTCAACTTCAGTCGTCGCTGTTGTACTCTGAAGACAGGCCCTGCAGCAGGGGCAGGGACATGGAGTGCCGGTCAGGGTCCCTAGGACCCACGCCCTGGGCTCCTGGTGGGGAACCGCGGGGGTTGAAGAGCCAGTTCTCTGCCAGGATTGGGGATAGTCACAGCTTGACTTGTGCCCTGGTCTGTCTGCTTTCCTGGTCCCTCCCTCTGGTCTTGTGCTATGCCCACCCATCACCAGGACCATGCTTCCATCTCACCTCCCCCGGCTCTCTCACTCTGACCCCCGCTTATGGTCCAGTGTGGAGTTGCAGGTGCCCCACACATTCCTGGGCTATACTCCCCATGCCCTCTCCCCCTCCACCTTACCTATCCCTCTCATCTTCATTACCCTTAGCAGTACCTGACAACATCTGGGACCCCCTTCAGAAGGGGTTTCAGCCTTTGTAGGAGAATCTGGTGAGTCTGTTCTCTGGCCCTTCCTGGGGAGGTGGTGTTGGTGAGGCTAGGACAGACGGGGGTATATCAGCAACTTTGAGGGTATTGGCTGGGGCTTGAGTTGGGGCCAGAGGTGGCATGGTGTTGAAGTTGGGTCTAACCCATTTGGCCCCGTGGGGCAGTGGGTCCTTGGTCAGGGGCTTCTGTGGTCCTACCACTCCTTTGGGCTGCAGTGAAAACTTGAGGCAGGAGAAGGCAATAGGCAGCGACCATTGTAACCGGAGCTGCTGGGCCTCATGGGCTGTAGGTAGCAGCCCTCGCTGCAGCCAGGAACAGGAGAAGACCTGGTAGATGACATAGATGCTGTGGTGCTTCGGAGCCAGGGAAGAGTCTGATGTAGGCTCACTTGCCCTGGTGGCAGCAGCAGGAAGGTCACCTTCTTGCACAGGCCACCCATGTGCAGGCGGATCTGGCGGGGCTGCCCATCCAACAGTCGCATTTCTTCATAGGCTGTCTCTGCTCGGCCATTTGGTGAGTATTCCTAAGTGCAGTGGGCACAGGCAATGTCAGACCCTGTCTGCTCCAGGAGGTTTGGTAGCAGCCCCACTGGTTGTAGCACCCACTGGCCCTGCCAACCTGGTAAAGGTAGGCGGGTGTGGCCTGCGCGGGACTGTTTAACTAGCACACCCAGTAGGTCATAGCAGGCTGCATCTGACAGGAAAGGCACTGCCACTACATTGGGCCCAAAGTGCTCCTTGATAACCTGCAGGTGGCCAGTTTATAGGTCAGGGACTGAGTTAGGGAAAGGAGTTACCTGATAGCCTTCTCTCTGTTGACCCTCCAACTGTTCACTGGTTGATAGTATCTCTACAACTGCTCAGACTGTTAGGCCTCTTACTTACCTCCCAGTTCCCTCCTGTAGCAAAACCTTGAATGTCTCCTATGTTCCAGACTCTGTTAAAAGACTCATAAAATAATGAAAGTTTGTCCTTGACCTAATAATAGGTTGTCCTAAAGAGCTCAGTCTAATGGAGAGACAAAAATGTAAACAGTAGTCAGCTCAGTAAGAAAGTAAGGTGTGGAGGAGACAAGAAGTAATATAACAGACTTTGTCTTTGACAGGAAAGGAACCAAGAAGGTTTCTAGGTGGTAATACTTGAGCTTTGAAGGAATTAGGTAGGAGAATGGTCAATCCAGGCAGAGGGTAGAGTCAGTGGAAAAAATCTAAATTTACAAACTAAGATGGGTACATTCAGGAACATGTAATTTCATATTGCTTAAATGTAGTGTATGAAGAAGGACACAGGAACTAGATTATAAAAGATCTTGAGGGTAGCTAAGTGATGGGGAATTTTGTCCTGAGGGCAGTGGGAAGCCACTTGAAGGGCTCTGGCTAGGAGGGGCAGGATCAGAAAGGCATTTTTGAAAGCTAATTTTGATAGGAAGACATAAATAAGGAGAGAGAGATCAGTTAAGAATATTGTAATACTTCAGGGAGGATGAGGTGAGGCCTTGAACTAAAATAGTGGGGGAAGATACTTAGGTTGTAAAATTAATAGAACTTGGTCACTTAATGGGTATGGGAAAAGGAATCCTGAAAGATTATTCTTAGGTAATTGATTAGATGGTTGATGTCATTAACCAAGAATGGTTATTCAAAAGTAGATTTGGAATGTCCATTCTTAAAACTAACTATAACTCCTTAGTATATACACTTCCTGCTGTAGCTGCAGGGCATAGTTCTTTTAGCTATTAGAGGCCTCAAATGCTAGTTCAGTATGCTTTTAGGGATTCCAGTTCCTCTTGGTTTTGTCCTTTTCTTGGCCTTTTGGGCTTGGTAACCACTTCTGGAAAGTTAAACATTGTGACCAACTGGGAAACCCTGTAGAATTCTCTCTAGTAATTGTACTTAGGCATGATCTCGACTCGTCCAGGATACTATTGGGTGAGACTTCTGTTAGGGAGCTCGCAAAATTCCCTCTTTGGGTCCCTTTCATCTTTGAGACCTGTTCTTAAAATGCTGTATGCTCTGTTCCCCTCCCCAGGCACTAATCCCCACATGTGTGAGTCCCTACTGATGGCATTGCCCACTCTGCAGGCTTTCTGATAGAATTCCCTAGTGGTCCCTTAAGGCTGATCTGTTTTTGCTACACAAAGCTGTTTGAGAAGTACTGTCCCTTAGCATAAGAGGAGGGTAGCTAACTGATGGAGTTCTGTCTGTACTTAGCTTTTTGTCACCTAGCTAGGGAAATAACCGGTGTTCTTTTTGATCTGCATGGAAGAATTTTACATCATTCCTTGTCCTTTGCTTCACTGAGACATGGAACACTTTCTTTTGGGTGGGGCCTCCCGCTGAAGAACAGAGCTCTAAGAAGGGCCAGTTGGGTTGCAGGGGTGAGAGCAGAGCACTGGTGGGTAGGCATTTTTGTGTAGAATGTTTTGCTCCATGACAATGAAAGCATGGTCACCTAGCTTAACTTCAGAATCCTACTCTAGCTGCTTTTTTGGTGCCTGGGGTCCTATATAAATAAGACAAATGGGAGTGTGTCCCATAGAGGTCCCTCTAATAGGAATGTGACATTTAAAATACCTGGTTCTTAGGGTCCAAATTTCTGCTCAAATGTGAATCTCTGACTTAACTAGAGACTCTTGCCCAGAATATAGCATGAATTTGCCATGGGCATTTATTAGGTAGCTCCTCTTTATTATGCTTGAGAGCCCTGGTGATTATCCTAAAATAGGAAAAATAAGGCACTCAGGTCTATGCTAGGGTGACTGTTCTGGTAGAGTCACCATTTGAAACCACTACCTGTTCCCACTCCACTTTTACTTCTGGGTGAAAGTTCTGTGGAACTTACAGGCCTGCAAATTTTGATGTCTTAGGGGCAGCCCAGGAAATTGATGGTATGGAAGATTATCTTCCTGGATATTCCCTGGCTAGTTTGAATTCTGAATTCAAAGCTCTTAAGCCACATTCTGTTTACCCAGATGTGTACAAAGTGCCCAATGAACTGTCAGCAGTTCTAGAGAGGAATGGTGTCCTCACTCAATGGTGTCCTTGAATTTGCCACACACTGCCAGTGGTTTACCCTGCATGTCTCTACCCTGAGTTTCCTCACAATTTTTCATTTAAATAGGACAGGGAGTTTTTCTGATACTCAGAGATGGAGTAGCTTTCTATCAGGTGAAGACCCCATTTAATTTCAACCAAATTTTTATTGATCCAAGCTAAGACCAAGCTTCTACACTGCCGAACCCAGGCCCTCTAGTACTCGGGCTCTCCTGTTTCTGGTTCCCTGGGAAGCTGACCTTTGTGGTTGAGCAGCTGCTCCATTTTGAATGGGATCTACATGCTATTAAAGCTGCCTTGAGTTTGATAGGCAGTACTTTAAGATGGTTGTTTGAAACTTGGTGGGCTGCCTTCTATGAATGCTTTAAGTTCACCCTCCTTCAGATCATAGAACCAGAAACTGATCCCTAAATTCTCCAACCTCAGAAATTACTGGCCGTTGAGATTTGGTGGGATTTCTTGGATACTTGGAACTCAGATCCAGCTGAGATCTGCCTGCTCCTGGCAATCTATTTTTTTTGGCTCAAAACCCAAATTTCTCATTCGGGAAGTTTCTCATTCGTGGAAGTTAAGGCAGAGGGAATGTCTGTGAAGAGCTCAAAATAACTCCCAGCTTCTTTGGAAAGTTTAAAAGGTCTTTCATGATTAGCCCCTGTATCTCTGACCTCATTCTCACTACTGCTCTTGGAACTCTGCTCTGGAGGACTATTTATAGTTCACAAACAGCTGTCTTTCTTTTTCTCCTCCTGGATTTTGCATGTGTTCTACCTTTAATTTGTATACTGTTCATTCACCCAACCCACCTACCTACCACTCATGATCTCATTCAGGTGTTTATTATGCACCATTTATGAATCAGGTATTCCTCTACCCTCTATGTGTGAATAACTCCTACTAGTCTAGCTAGAGGTCAGTGTCTCCAGGGAATCTTCCTGACCTAAGTCCTACCTCTGACTGTGCACACCTCTTTACTTTTACAGCTCCCTGTTGCTTTTCAAGGGAACTTGATGTCTTTGAGATTGTGACTAAGTTGGACAGTGTGTGCAGAGCAGTCAGTGCAGTGCCTTGCAGGTGAGCTCTAAGTAAAGTTAGTTATTCTTGCCTTCAGGCTTCCGCCCCTCTGCCCATGAGCTTATCAGACCCAGCGAGGTCACACTTCTGTTACTTCCTTCTTAGCCCTCTTACACTATCTACCTTATGCTTGATGAGCATCCAGGTGGTATCAACTTCATCCAGTGTTAGCAGGTGGGGGATACCATCCAACATGGTGAGGTGTGAGAGGGGTCAGGCAGGGCAGTGGCTGCTGCAGGAACCCTGAGCTGCCCAGAGAACTAAAGCCCAGGCCTTAGGCTGTGACCTGCTGCAGCATGAGGTCATAGAGGTTCTGCTGGCTGAGGGGTCCTTGGGTGGGGAGAGGGCAGGCATTTCCTTAGCTTCACTCCAGTCCGTGGTCTTGCATCACCTATTATTCTGCTTTAGGGGAGGAAAATGCAGGTATTCATCAGGGTGAGTGTGTGAGGGTGTGTGTAGTTCTTGGTCTGAGTTCTTTAAGGAAACAGGATTAGGCCTCTCCTCCCTTCAGCAGCCTTCTTTAAGCAATTTGCTCTGCTATCTTGTAAGCTGCAGATGGCTTCGTGAACTTGGATCAGGGTCCTGAAGGACATACAGGAGAAGTATAGATCAGGACTTAAACTGAGAACCAAGCAGGTGTTCTCAACCTTGGGTATACTTAGGAATTACCTGGGAGCTTTAAAAATTAGTGATGCCTAAATCCTGCCCCCAGAGGTTCTGATTTAATCCGTCAGGAGTGTGTCTAGATACCAGGATTTCTAAAAGCCCCTCAGGCAATTCTAATGTGCAGCCTAGGTTGAAACCCATTGTTAGTGAGTGGGTTACACTTGGAGTGAAAGCCAGGTGTGTGTGTAGGAGGGTGCCCTGCTGAGGTGACAACATGGAGGATGAGAATGTAATTGGGATAGTGCTGCCTAGTAACTAGAAAGCACTTTCAGGAAGCCAGAATATCCAGGTAAATTTGAGGAAATTTGTCTTCATGCTTCACTCCCTGTCCTAGGCTGATCTGTGATCTAGTAAGTACTCTCCTAGTGTAGCACTAGTCTGTAGGATTTCCCCTGAATCTCTGTCCAGAGATCTCAACCTGGTGTTTTGCAGAAGAAGAGCGTTTTTTCCCCAGAGAAGAACCACTCTAGAGAGCTTTTCCAATAGCTGCTCTTCTACTCCATCTCTGATCTATCTAAATAGTCTTTCATTGAGTCCCTCTAGAATATCTCCCATGTGCCCAGGAAGCCTCTTTTGGGGTGGGGAACAACCTTCCCTAACCCAGCCCAGCAGGTATAGCTATCTCACAAAGGGCCATTGTCTGAGCTGGGAGGGATAGCATAAGTATGGGGTACAGGGAAGGGTCCTACAGAAGAGAGTGTTGCTAAGAAGAGTTCCTAAAGGATATGTAACTGGCCTCAGCAGAGGGCAGATCTCCTTAGACAGAGCTAAGGGTATGGGTGCCAGGTCTTTGAGCAAAGGGGCCTGTGTTCTAGAAGGGGAATTAATATCAAATATATGTTGAACTCTTATGTGTTAGCGGCTGTGACAAACACTTTGAATGCATTATCTTACTACCTTTAGTAACCTCTTGAAGTACTATTATTTCCCCATTTTACAAGTGAATTAACAGGCTCAGGGAGATTAAATAAATTGTTGCAAGGCTTACAGTGAGTCAGTGGAGGATCTGGGATTCAAAGCCAGGTCTGCCTGTTTCCAGCTTGAACCACTAAACTGTGGTTAGCAAGGGGGGACATCCTTCTGCTCGCCTGCGTGTGTGGTATGAGAGGCGTGTGCTAGATGCAAGTGCAGAGTGGTGTGGGGAGGAAATAGGCAGGAGAAGGGGAGTGCTGCAAGAGAGCAAACCAGAAACCCCAACCTTCTTGCTAAGACAAGTGCAACCAAGTCTATTCCTCTTAATGTCCCTTCATCACATTTTTTTATGGTGGTTGACAAGGAGAGGTCACCTGGTGTAGTGTATAGTTGGCCCCTCTCTTCCCTCCAGAGAGGAACTCTGAGATGACAGGGAGAGAAGAGAGACATGCACAAGGAAGGACAAGAGACCACAGACATGGGACGAAACTGGCAGTACAGGGAGACAGAGCTGCAGAGGCGCAGAGGCAGAGTTATTGACAAGCAGGCAGAGAACGATGCACGTCCTATCCTGAGGAGCTTCCAGAGTTGGGGGGTGAGGGTTGATGGGCTTTTGGTGTAGCTGGGTGATGATCTTGTTTGGGTTTTGTTTGTAAAGGGAACTCAGATGGGAAATGGGTTCCTGATGGGCTCTTCAGCCAGAAGCCCCTACCTTCTGTCTTCTCCCTTTTGCTGCCTGATTATCATGATTCTCTAGGCTCCCTGAATTCCACCCTGCCATATCCTGACATTAGGTAAGCTTGTCTTTCCCTTGGGTCACAGAGTCTGAGACTGAAAGTTGCTGAAGGAAAACAGATGACAACTGAGTTCTGGATGGAGCTGATGAGCCCCAGGGCTGGGCTGATGGGCCCATATCCTGCTCGTGGGGTTTACTTTCAGTGTTGCATGTTCTGGGGTGTCCCTGGGAAAAAAAGACATAGATTATCTGCAGCATGTGAGGGGTGACCAGAGGGGAGAGTATGAAGGGAATAATCAGGTGGGGGCTGATGACCCAGAGAACATGAGGTTCTCTGCAGGGTCTCTAGATCAGTACAGAATAGTGTTGATAGCAAAGACTTCAGTGATAGAAAGTCCAAACAAGTCTCTATTTCTCTCAGGCTATGGGGATAATCATTCAAGGTTCCTAATTTGGAACCGTTTGGGACAGATGTGTTTTGTAATTCAGAATTTTTCAATTTTAGGAAGGGAATATAGTGCCTTTATCATGTATAAAGGAATACCCCAGTGAGATTCAGTGCCCTACAGTCACACACATGAGTATTTCTGCATTCTATGAATATTCACACCAAGATAAATAAATACTATCAATATAATTGTGATGTTTCAGGTCAGGTTTTGGGCCAAAATGATGAAAAAACTTATTTCTTCAGAGATGTTTTTTATTTTGGGTTATGGGCTTACAAGTGTTCTCAGGTTGTGTGGAGTAAAGCCGATAAAGCCTTCTGAACACATCACATGGTCAGTACGTCTACAGTCTCAATCCTAAACAATACAGATGTCCAAGGGGGTGGGTTTTGGCTTGAAGAAAGAAATGTCTTAGATGAACAGTGTACAGCTTTGCTATCAGCTGCCTTGGGGAGTTGTGCACAACAGGGAGCGAAGATGCCTTAGAAGAGAGGCTTCCTATGGTGGGATGGTGACAACTCATTGCTTATGAACATTGGCAGCATAGGATTTCCCTTTTTGTGTACCAGAGGGGAATGACAAAAACAGTGTGTATGGGTGTGTATGTGTGACAGGACTGTCACATATGCCTTTCTTTATAATAAAGTTGTAATAAATATCTTACTGCATACATCTTTGTTCACATCTCTATTTTGTTAGATAGATTTATTGAAGAGGAATGCCCAAGAGAAGTATCTTAAAGACTTGTGATCCGTTAGCATTAGGATTTTGTCATAATTTTCCACAAAGGCATTGCCTGGAAAGGGCTTTTTAACTCAGAACTTCATGAAAAAGATTAGTCTTGAGAATGACTGAGGACCTACACGCTATTTGAGGAAAATGTAGATTTCCTTCTCGTCCACCTGGCTTCAGTGTGACAACACCTGAAAATTATGCAGAGCTTCTGGGCCATTTCTTCAGTTCTTTGCAGTGAGAACCTGGTGAGAGCCCATGTGACCCTGGACAGGGCATCACCTGCTTTTCCAGATTGGCAGCCTCTTCTGTGAAGTAGCCCTATTGCTTGGCCCAGCTGTCTGTGCTAAGTGGTCAGCATGGCACCTGGCTTCAGGTCTTCACAGCTAACTCCCAGACCTGAGGTTCAGACAGTTCCTGGAGAGCTCAGGTCTGCCTGCACAGCCTGCAGTTTTTTCTGACCTCATAACAGTGACTCTCTGCCTTCTGTGTGAGAATTATACTGGTTCTGGACTCCATGCTGTTGTGAAAGAGCTTTTGTGCAATGTCCTTTCCAGTGTGGAGTCAGCTGAAAGCCATCCCCCTGTTGGGCAACACCATGATACTGCCTTTGCAATAACTGTGCTGGCAGCCACAGCAATGTTAAATACTCTTATTCCATCCTACCGCACCAACATCACAGGCTTCTAGTGATGTTGGCTAGGACAGGTGGGAGCGCTGAGGAGGATTCCATTTGAGAATTCTACGTTTCTGTCTGAGGATGCACAAAAGGGCAGATTGGTAGGAGACCACAGTGACGCTGGACCTCAGGCAAGGTGGTCAAGTGGTTACAGTGATTTTCTGGGCTATCAAACTTGCTTCAGTTGGACCCCTGACCCCTGAAGCTGCAGGCCCAGGAGAAGTTCTAGCTATTAGTTCTTGAGACTTTGGCAGGGGTAGAGGGAATAATGATTCCACATGAGACCAAATGGATTCTATGAATTGGAAATATCTTACAGATTGGTGTCCTGGACAACATTGGGACCCCGAGGCACATTATCCAGAGTCTCAGAAGGTGGGGGATAAACCTCTAACTCCTTTCCTAAGGACAGGCTGAAAATAACATGGCTCCAGGAATAGAGAGGGCTGTGATCCCAGATAAATACTTGTCTCCAGAGGCAATGTCACTCTTCCCAGAGCCTCAGATCCAGGATTTATAGAGGAGCTTTTGTCTGAGAACTTGGGCAGACTTGTTCTTCTCAGGGGAAGAGCGCAGTTCTGTTTAAGTTAAATCTTGTGTGCTATGATCCTATGACAATTCCTGATCTCCTTTTAATTTCCCACGCATGATAATATGTAGCCCCCTGACTCTTCCCAAGCAGGATACATGTCTACGCCAAAATTTACAGATGCTAGTGGTACACATAGTAGGGGTTTCACAGCAAATATCTATTGAGAGATTATCAGTCCCATGCAGCTAATGGGACAAAAATGACAATCCATACCTCCAGGCCCCAGTCTGTCTTCTGAATGCCTCCCACCTCCATTCCCAAGCTCCATTGTTTCCACTGCCCATTAGAATTGGCTTTTTCTGAACATGAAGGTTTCCAGAAGCCGATCCCTGATCTGCTTGGTGCGGATCCCATAGATGAGAGGGTTGAGGGCAGGTGGCAGCAGCAAATAGATATTAGAGAGAAGGATGTGCACCGGCTTTGGGACAGTGTTACGACCAAAGCGGTGTGTGAGGTAGGAGAAGAGACCAGGTACGTAGAAGGCCAGAATGACACAGATGTGGGAGCTACATGTACCAAAGGCCTTGGCACGGGCCTCCCAGGTAGGTAGCCTGAGCACAGTGTGGGCAATGAGCCCATAAGAGCCAGAGATGCCTAGAATATCTATCCCTGACACAGCCAGCGAAAGAGCCAGCCCATACAAGTTGTTGGCCTGTGTGTCCCCCACCACCAGCTCCACCACTGCCATGTGTGCACAGTAGGCATGGTCTATGCTCTTGGCTCGGAAGTGCTCAAATCGTGCCACCAGCAGAGGGAAAGGCACAACAATAGCCACAGCTCTCAGGGCCAGTGTTATAGCTGCATGGACCACACGGGCTTTGGTGACTAGGATTGGGTAGTGCAGTGGGCGGCCTACTGCCACAGCACGATCACAGGCCATGGCCAGGAGCACACCAGATTCCACGGCAGTCAGTGTGTGGACAAAGAACATCTGGACGAGGCAGGTGGCGTATGGCACAGGCCGGGGCCCAAGCCACAGCACAGCCAGCAGTCCTGGGCCTACGGACGTGGCTAAGGCCAGGTCTGTGGCTGCCAGTGTGGCCAGGAGTAGAAATACAGGCTGTTGCAGTGTGGAATCTGTCTGCACCACTGCCAGCAGTGCTCCATTGCCCATCAGGGCCAGCAGATACATGGGCCCAAAGACCAGTGTCAGCCAGGCCTGGGCACCCCCTAGCCCTGGGATGCCAGTCAGTATGAAAAAGGCTGGGCGTGGGAGGGTGGTGTTGAGCTGTGAAGCTTCTGCCATCCTGGGAGAGGTGGCAAAACTTTAGGACTCATGGGGCATGTCTCCTGATAGGGGAAGGACAAAGGAAGAGGTTTTGGGGGTGTCACAGTGGCACAGAACCATCCATGGGATATGTGTAGGGGTACTGCAGGGCTAGGGGAACACAAGGTTATGACCTTTGGTTGGGGTTTTGGATGGATAATCAAATCACAACCCTAGTTAGGATGGGAAAGTCCTTTGTGCCTGAAGGATCATGAGTGTTGTAGGGGGCAAAATGGGGGACTGATAGTGAGGAAGGGGTGCTCACTGCTGCAGTGGATGGTACAGCTAGAGTTCTCCAGTTGGAGGTCACTTGAGAGTGGGGTTGAGATGAATATTCTTCTTTGGGGTCTGAGGAGAGTCAGTCCAGTCTCTGTAGCCAGGAGAGAAAGCCTGTGCTGGGTGGGGATCCAGCCTTAGGCTGGTCCTGTCCCTGACTGTGCATCCTTAGGCAGAACCCAGGGCCTCAGCTTCCTCAGCTCTACAGTGCAGTGGTGTGGGGTGGGCACAATGATCTTAAGTGCCATCCAGTTTTCACAGTCTGGGCACTAGCCCTCCAAGAAGGGGGATAATAGAAAGGGAGCAACAGGAGGAGGAGGTGATGGGAACTGGGGTGAAGCTGGAAGCTGATGTGATGGGAGAACACCTGGTGGGTTTTGGGGATGCTTACGTTATTCTTGGTGCTGAAGTAGTGAACTTGAACACGGGCTGGACAGTTGCAGCTGGGCCTGGGAAGCCATGGAAAAAGATAGTAGCAAAAAAAGGAACTTCTTTGTCTCCTCTCCTTCTTCACAATCCAGAAGGGGTCCCACTAGAGTCTCATTCCTGGGGTGCCAGACGCAGTGGAGGGGACAGAGAAGGAGGAAATGGTACTCAACCCAGAGTAGCAGCCGCAAGAGGAAAAAGCATCTCTGATGTTGGAGAAGGCAGAGTGAGGAGAACTGGTTCCTCCTGGAATCCAGCCCATGGCAGAAGCTTACCCAGCCTTGCGTGGGTGCTGACAGAGGAGGAAAGCAAGAACAGAAGCCTGGCTGGGGAGGGTTCTGCGCACTGCACCGCCTGCTGGCAGATGTTCTTCCCTTTGCCCGCCTGGCGGGCCCTTTTGTGGCCATTCTGCCTGCTTCCCTCAGCACCCTTCCCCCGCCCACCTGTGCCGCATTAACTCTTCCCTGCGGGCTTTGTTCCCTGCTGATCTATGACTCAGGAAGTCGAATAAGGAGGTAGAAGGGAAGGTATCAGGAGAGAGACTGATGGGAATGAACAATGTGAGGAGGAGGAGCACTTCCTCTGGTAGGTCTTTGCTGACTCCCTAAAGTCTGGAGAAAATACCTTGCTTCATTCTGTAGTAGCCCTGGACCCCTCTTTTGTAATTACTCCTCTCTCCCCACTAGACTGAGTTACAAGCAGTATTATTAGCCCAGTATCTCCACTCTCATCATAATGCCTGGCATGTAGTTGTCTATGAATAAGTATTTCTTGTAATTGTAGGATAGAACTGCTGGCTCAAACAGGATTTGCTGAGTAACAGGGGCTCCTGCATTTTCAAGAGCCTTAGGTATCCATGGAGATGAGAAAGAATTACCATCAACTATGAGTCTACTGAGTGCGATTCTTTCTGCTATAAAGAGACATATTCTAAAAACCGTCACACCGTGCAAGGTAAAGCAATAAAAAACACGGAGCTTATGGGAAAAATGGGAGTAGGGGCACGACATTCAAAAACTTCATCAGCGACCACATTTTAAAAAGGTGAGGAACCTAATAAAAATGGTAGTACCGTTTTACACGTGTTAAATGGTTAGAAAGTATACAAATACAATAAATACGACGCTTCAGTTTTGCTTGCGGAAGTGAGCCTCGGATGCAGCTTGTGAATTACCCGGAAGTGGCCGGAGAGACCACAGTAGTCTCTGCTTACCTACTGTCCCGCTCCCGCGGTTTCAGGTACCTGCGCAACCCCAGCAGGAAGTAGGTGATCCTCCTCCTGAGGATCGTCAGAAGGTCAGTAGCAGCTAATGCTGTGTCACACTGTTTACGCCACCCCCCTGGGTGAGTACAGTACAATGAGGTATTTTGAGACAGCACATTCAAGTAACTTCTATTATAGTATATTATTATAATTCTTCTCTTTTATTATAATTTATTGTTCTTGATCTGTTACTGTGCCTAGTTGATAAACTTTATCATGGGTGTGTATGTATAGGAAAAAAACGTAGTATATATAGGGTTCGGTACTGTCGGAAGTTTCAGGCATCCATGGGGGGCCTTGGAATGTATCCCTAGTGGATAAGGGGGACTACTCTAAAATTGGGTGGAATGTTGTAACACCAGATGTGGAGGGGTGTGGTTCATAATACAAATGATGATAGATGTTTGAGGTGCACACAAGTGTGCGTGTTGGGT